AAACGTAAACTGTCTTTTTCAAGACAATTTGTTTCTTGTTTCTAAAACGAAGTAAGTCTAAAACTTTTGGTAAAGGTATTGTGGAAGGTATATGGTAAGGTATTCGGTGGTACTGGTAACTGGTAGGTATGTAGTCGTGCGGTGCGGCTACATGTTATTAGGACGGCTTGAACAGATAAGACTTACTTGAGCAAAACCTTTCGTAGGATTTTGTGTTCTAACATCAAAAACATGGAACTTTCCTTCTAAAGTAGTTGCAACCAGTTTATTCATTGGAATATCTTTGCGATCAAATTCAGTTGAGCATACCTGTAAAGAGTAGGTAAGAATTTAAGAAAAGATTTATTTACTGTTCCTTCGTGACAATAAATATAATGCATGATTCTAATGCTGCTCGACTCGACTGCTTCGTTGGCCGAGTGGTCGCAAGTACGACTGCCGGGCAAGAGGTCTCGGGTTCGATTCCCGGGTTGGGCAAAGTATTACTGGGTTTTTAAAAAATCTCAGAAGTAGCACGGAGCCTGGAATTGTGCCCGGTATATGGCAATAGTCTCACCCCCTATTACATGGGACTCATAACATAAAATAGTGAAAATTGGGTGTTACATTCATTGTACAGTGGCATAATGTTTACCTCTGCCGACCCCTCCGAGGAAAAAAGGCGTGATATTATGTAATTCTAATGATAATAAGTTTTCATGTGTCTGTACAGTACAGTCGACAAATACCTACTGATGAAGATTAAATTGTTAAAAAAAATACATACTCCATTTTTCAAATTACATTCCCAGCGAAGAGACATGGTCCTTAAATCAAACATCTTAAGGTCTCCATTGTCATAACCAGCAACTACAATCCTCTCTGCATCATTGAAGGAGTTACCAAAGGAGACCGCCCAGCAGTCACGCTTTGATTCCCCTTTAACTGGTTGCATATTTGCTACTGGTTTCCCTCTTTGGCGAGGGTCCCATACTTTTACTGTACCTGAAATAAGACAGAGTATAAGTCGTTGAGTATCGTCATTATAGACACAATTAAAGAACAATATGTTGCAGTCACCGGTGATCTCTTGGTGTTAGACAGTTTAAAGTTATGTCCACATCTTAAAAATCAAAGTTCTGTGATCATCGGCACTAGCCAAAAATATTCATGTTGTTGGACAAAGGTCTTGAACCTTTGATTGACAATGAATAAATCGTTTTTTTATGCATAGTTCTTCAATAAATGTGAAGATGGAGGTTTTTAAATTACAAGTTCACTTTAAATGTTGTTGAAAATTAATCTAGGTAGGTATTATGTTTCTATGACAACACTGGTAATGTGGTAGTGCTGCACTAAGTAGTGATGAGATATATTTACCATCACGACTGCCAGTAACAATTTCAGGGGCACCACAGTTATTGACATTCCCGCCCATCCCATCAATAGAATTTATAATATCTGTGTGCTCCTTTGTAATATACATTTGGCAACTTTTCTCCAGATCCCTGTATGATAAAAATAATTATAATGAGGCACAGCAAGTATAATAAGAACACTTTTATTAAATTTTTATTAGCTTACCATATTTCTAAAGTGCCTTTGAAATCACCAGTTGCTAATCTTCTTTCAACATCATTGCTTGCGCCAAACGTTCCACATTTAAAAGAGTTTGGCCTCTCTATCTCCTTTATCTTCCGGATTTCACCAGACGTGATTTCATACACTTCTAATGTACCAGTTCCTTTTGGCAAAGAACCGATAACAACAAACTTTGCTGAACAAGGAATCCATTTGCAGTCGAATATGGAATGGTTAATATTGTGTTCAATATGTGTAATTATTTGGGGAGTATCTAATTCTTCCATATTTTCCTATGATAACCGATTTATTAAATCTTTGTAATCTTCTAAGAATATTGAGAACTTTATAACCTTAAATGATCGAATAAACAATTTCTGTTGCTATGGCAACAAGTGACAGTTTGACTTCCTGTATTTAGCTTTATACTCGGCCAGTAGCATTTTGCCTCTAATTTATTTCAATATTTTGAATATGTACAGGTAATTATTTATTTATTAGATTAAGCACGTATATTCATTTGATTTTAGTCTAATTTGATTCTAAAAATGTTCTAATGGTGATTATTTATTGTCTATGGTTTTAATAAATATCTATTCTATAAATCTGTAGTGTGACTCACACATCTCAGATGTGTGACTCACACTGTGTGAGTGTGTGAGTGTCATTTTGTTGACGGTTGTCTATGATCAAAATGCCCAAAATGGACGAAAGTGCGTGAGGTTTTGTTTGGTAATAGATTGTTACTACCAAAAAATCGTATTAAAACTTAAATTGCAAAATCTATTAATAAATTAGTTCGAAAAGTGATTCTAACAAGATGGGCGACAAAAAGTACAAACAGAGTGTAAGTTTTATTCACCAATGCTTGTAAAACAGTATAAAACACCGTATCAATATGTGATTTACAAAAAGTATTTTATTTTCAGAAAGCAGAAATAGCGAAGCAGTTTAACCTACCAGAGCGGCAATCTAAGATTACGACATTGTTAAATCAAGCCGGACAAGCTTATTGCATATGTCGATCTTCCGATAGTTCTAGGTTTATGATGTGAGTTGTTATACTGATTTCTATTCTTATTAATTATTTTGTATATTACTTAACTATAGGGGCTGCATCGACGGTGAAGTGACAAGTTCTACTAACTGATACTTTATAATGTTTTACTTAAAAATATGACGTATCTCCATGATGCAGTCCTAACAACAATTTGTACACACGGCCACACATCAATCTATACAAAACCAGTTTATCCTGCCTGCCTCTTTGGCCGAGTGGTCGCAAGTGCGACTGCCGAGCAAGGGTCTAGGTTTCGATTCCCAGGTCGGGCAAAGTATTACGGGGTTTTTAAAAAAAATCTCAATGCTAGCACAGAGTCTGGAATTCTGAATAGTATATAGCTCACACTCAGTTAGCTCACTCCCTATTACATGGGTCTCATAACATAAATGGGGGAAAAGTGGATGTTACATGGTACAGTGGCATTAAGTGGCATAATGTGCACCTTTGCCTATCCCTTCTGGGATAAAAGACATGATGTTATGTTAGTAAGATAACAGAATAGGTCAACAAATAGAAAAAGAAAAATTATTAAGATAACTCATCAATTTGATAATGCTCATCACCATCATTGTTATTTTCACTAATAACTTTAAAAATACAAAATGATTTAATAATTTTAGAGCTTGCGACTCATGCGAAGAGTGGTACCATGGAGATTGTATCAATATATCAGAGAGAGAAGCTAAATACATCAAGAACTACTTCTGTGATCGCTGCAGAGAAGAAGATCCTACCCTTAAGACCAGGTTCAGACCACAGAAGAGGGAGAATGATGGAGATGTCGGTGAGTTGATGTTATTTGTGGTGTTATAAGTCATATAATAGGCTCACCCCCTATTACATGGAACTTGTAACAAATAGTTAAAAGTGGGTGTTACATTGTACAGGGTGCACAGTAGCATTAAGTGGCACAAGATGTTATGTTTTATCATGTAAGTCAAATTTAATTCAGTAATTAATTCTCAATTAAATAACCGTTCCTGTTAATGAAGATTGTACATTATTTTATCCAGTATCTATTCTTTTAAAATCGAGTACAATCATTATACTTAAGAAGGTAGGAAATTATCTGATGGAAGCTTATAAGATGGCAATCATAGCAATAATAAGATATAGTAATAGTGCATACAGGGATAGTCACCGTTTTGTGACCCATTGCATTTAGATTAAAGTTGACTAAAAGGCCTCTGCGCAGTTGACTTCCTGCTTCATACGCCTCCCAAATGACTGGGACCCTGTGGTCCCGCGATTGGTAGAGTTATGGTAATAAATGTTTCTTATATATTTATAAATTTGCACAATTGGCTGTAATTTAATATACCCTGCTAAAATTACCCTGCTTTCAGAACTCTTATTTATAATAGTACTAGCTTCTGCCCGCGACTTCGTACGCGCAATCTCGTTTTTTCCAGTTCCCGTTCGTGATACTCGATAAAAAGTAAAAAAAAAATGATTAAAAGTATCCTATGTCCGTCTCCTGGTTCTAAGCTACCTCCCCACCAATTTTCATCCAAATCGATTTAGCCGTTCTATAGTTATAAATAGTGTAACTAACACGACTTTCTTTTATATATATAGATAAAAAAGGAAGTGTGTTATCTGCTGCAAGTACAACAATATCTGTAGTATGCTAAAGTTTTTTCATAGCAGTAAACAGTTGAAAATTGACTTTATAAATAAAATAATAAAAGTAACATAACTAAATAATGATAACCTCATCTTTTGATTCAGCTCCTCGAGAAGATAGAAAGAAGAAAAAGAAAGAAAAGGATCACTCGGAGAATAAGTCTTCGAAGAGACAGAGCAATAAGGATGGTTGCGGAGACTGCCCAGGATGTCTGCAGATTAATGATTGTGGACAGTGAGTATCATTTACCACAGACTGTGATAATATCACCAGTTATTGATTAAGTACTTGTTTGGTCCGATACTTGCCGCGTCTTTTCGCCATCGTCCCACACGACAGCGTTTTCACCCTCATCATATAGTTAGATGGTTGGCAACTGTAACTCGCACAGCTAAACTGTGATGTGGTGGATGTGTAAGACCAACCCGGGTCACAGCAACAAGCAGGGCTGGTACGTCCCCCGTCGTAACCACGACATGACAAGTCTATGCGGATATCCATCGCGATCGAAAAAAAGGTTTAACACTGTAAAACATGCGTAATTGTATAGATACACACAAAGCAATTAAAGTTTTCTTTATTGAAATGTTTGTCTTGTAGATAAATTTAAAACATTAGACACGTATTTTTTCTTTTGTCATATTTTTTATTATATATGTATTAATTTAAAATATCGTGTGACGTCATATCGTGCTACATTTTGTAGCTCGTTTTGACATAACGACCTCCCATTCCTAACCTTAACGCCATTTTATCCAAGTATTGTAACTAAATAAAAAAAATACGTGCCTAATATTTTTTCATTATCTAAGTGACGAACTAATTACATTTTTAATTTTCTTACCCTGGCAACTACCCTATTGAATGGGTAACAAAATTCGATGTTTGGCAACTGTTCTTTACTTTTAATCGTTATCAGTTGTTTTATTTAAAAACACAATGCACCAGTTAAATCATCATCACTTTCAAAATTAATTGAACTAACTCCAATAGTCCCATGTCCTATGAAACCAAGCAGGTCCTATGACATAAGAGTTCAATGTCAAATACCTGTGAAGAATTGATTAAATAATAATAATATTATAATATTCTGACCTATAACATGCATTGTGACAGCTCACATAATCATAACAATTACACACACACATTCGATTATGGTCCTTATGTTAACTACGTTTAAATATAAATATTGAAATGTCACACATAATATTATGATATGAAATACTTTTGTTCTGAGACTTAAAGAAATGTTTGTTTCAGTTGCGAAGTGTGTGAGGATATGTACAAGTATGGCAACAGTAATAAAGTGAAGTTGAAGTGCAAAATGCGTATGTGCATCAAGAGTAAAAAAGCATCTAGACAATCGAGGTAAATTGTGATTTATGTCTTTATCTTATTAGCTTAGTGCATAAAATTATGAATGTTCAAAATGACTTACAAAACGCTCTTAGAGAACATCTTTAGAAATTGTAGAACATCTTAAGGTAAATTAACTAAAAATCGCGGGTTACTCAAGTGAATGTACTGAGAAAAGCTACCACTTTCAAGTCACGGAGGGACACCTCCTCATGAGCAGCGTGCGCGGTCGCGGCGATGTCGCGCAGCCTACTTTCTCAGTACATTCACGTAGGTTTTAGTTAATTTAGTATGTCTCACGATAGTTATTATAAAAACATCTTTAGGTAGATTTAAATAGAACTAAATTGGTGTCCTTTTGCTTGTTAATGAAAAATGGCCTTTCACTTGTTTTCAAAGGCATGATCAGTCATTAAATGTCGTCTATATGTATAGCCTATCCGCATTATACTTCTTAAATATATAAAGCACTTAAAAAACTATTTTCTGTATCTTTTTAGTGAATTTCTTGTTATGTTCTCGCGTTAGCGAGTTCCACTTTCCTATTTTTTTCGAATATCACATTAAATGAGTACTAAAAAAAAGATTCCAATTTTTAATATTCTAGCAGCAGCAACCGAATCAAGAAGAAACATCATGAAAGAGAGCAACATGAGCCAGAAGAGTCCCTCGCTCACTTACAAACAGCTGAAGCTCGACAGTGCTATGGACCGCAGTGCACCAGAGTTGCACAGTTCGGGTCCAAGTACTGTTCCCCGCAGTGCGGTATGAGGCTTGCTACTGCTAGGATTTATCAGGTAAGAAAGATCGTATGTTTTGTAAGAAACGGTACCCAATAGTAATCTTACTATTATTGTAAATACCTTCAAGAAAAGAGCGTATTCCTTTTTAAAAAACCCGGCAACGGACCTGTGACTCCTGTGGTGTTGCGGATGTAAATGCGCCGCGCTGATCCCTTACCATCAGGTGATCCGTCTGCTTGTTTGCATCCTATTCCATAAAAAAGCAAAAAAGTAAGTTTGTCTGTTTGTGTATATTTTTATCACACAATCACGTGAAAACGGTTGGAGGGATCGAGATGACATTTGGAATAGTAATAGATTATGATTTGGTATACACACAGGCTACTTTTATCTTTGGAGGACACGGGCGAAGCCTCGAACAGAAGTTACAGTTATAAAATACAGATGCATACTTATACTTACTTGTTTATCATAATTATGGTGATAGGTAGAAACTGGTCTATAGTACTCTAGTTCAGTATCATTGTCTTAATAAATAAATAAATGTCGATAAGTAAATTGAAAATGATATATACTTAGACAGCCTACCTACTGATTATTCATTAGGTGTATTATTAACATTTAACTACTGACGAGGGTGTTTCATTGACGGCTAGTTCACAAATATAAGAATTTGCCAAAAAAAAGGTCCAAATAATTGTATCGCAGTATTTTAAGTTATGTGAAATATAGTTTATATAATTTGAACCAAAAAAAAAAAACACGCTGATTTCATTAGAAAATGTTGTTTTTTTGCACTTCCTCAATAGAATAATAATAGACAGATCATAATACAAGTAAATATTGTGCAAATCAGTAAATGAAAATAATCCATTTCGTTATTTATTAAGGTGTCATAGGCCTTAGTACGAGTTTCATTTACGTTTACAGTATTCGAAACGAGTACGCGTTTGGCAATCTGATTGGCCGGCGCCAATGAACCAACCAATCACAGCGCCGAACGCGTACTCGTTACGATTACTTTAAGCGTAAAACAAACTCGTACTAAGGCCTCTGAAATACGTCACGACATCATTTATGATATGTATGACTAAACTACGTCAGTACTTAAAGGTTAATAGAGATCTAAATAATATCAAATTGTTAATGTAAATACCTGCAACATTTCTCTACCTTACAGGTGCTCCCACAACGGATACAAGAATGGTCACTTTCTTCGTGCGTGGCCGAGCAGAAGAATCGCAAAGCGTTAGAAGTAGTGCGCGGGGGCATCGCGCGTGCGCAGGCCGCCTTACGAACACTAGACACGCAACACTCAGACCTCGACGCGATCGTGGCACGGGCGAAGAATGCTACTATTGTTTATACCGATGATAAGGTAACCAGCATTGCCGATTTTTATGGTATCTAAATGGTCTTTGTCTGTATTACAGTTTGTTAAAGCTAAGGTAAATGTTGGGCTTGAATGTTATCCAGTTTTGACTTGGTATATAGCTGTCAGAGTCTGTGTTTTCTGAAGGGTTTAAGTGTGGGAGAGTAATGCTTCGGCACGCATGGGCCGGCTCGACCGGAGTGATACCACGGCCTCACAGAAAACCGACGTGAAACATCGCTTACGTTGTGTTTCGTCGTGTGAGTGAGGTTACCGGAGGCCCAATTACGCCCCCCCCCCCCCTCACCAGTCTCCCCAATTCCCGAATCTTCTACAATCCTCAAATTCCCAATTCCCAAAAGGCCGTTAACGCACTTGAAACGCTTAGGTGTTTCAGGTGTCCATGGGCGGCGTGAAAAAAGGGCATACCTGGGTGCCTTCAGGGCCATTGTGAATAGGTTGCTTATGGGCAGGCGTCCTCCGTCGCCGCATACTTGCATCATCGGTTACCACAAGGCGTTGACTGCACGGGTGGTGCGGTGGCTGGACAACCGGTTGCCGCACAACGTGTCGGGGATTCAATCTTCTCAATTCAATCAACTCTTTGTGTGATCTCCAAATTGTTGTTTCGGGTCTTGGTGTCATGTGTATATGGACTTGTATGTTTGTAAACGCACCCACCAGAAAATCCTAGTGTGGGGCAACGTTTAAAGAAATTAATGAAAATTTTGTTTTCGCGCTTGTGTTAATTAAACTTCATAAAGGTATAAGTTTTATTTTCGTCCAAAGTTACTCGTGATTAGACCAATATTATATTTGCTTTAAAGATACAATAATATTACCCTTTCCCCCCAGGATGCAGATGACGAAACATCAATGTACTGTATAACTTGCGGTCATGAGATCCACTCTCGGACTGCAGTGAAACACATGGAGAAATGCTTCGTGAAGTACGAGGCGCAGGCGTCGTTCGGCAGTAGACATCGCACGCGTATCGATGGACAGAGCATGTTCTGCGACTACTACAACCCTATTAATGCTACTTATTGTAAGAGGTTGAGGGTGAGTTCGTTATTTTGTTGTTATATGAGAATAGAGTGAATTATTATGAATTATTATAATCTTCGGCTTACTCTCTGTCGCGCTGATACTCAGTAGCCGCTGCGTCGCGGGTCGCGGAATGCTACCCATGAGTATGACCCTCTAGCATGGCTTGAAACTAGTCGAGTTCCTCGTCAAATAATTACGTGCGTAAGCAGAAAAACATTATAATTAATTTAGTGTGTCTCACGAAAGGTATAATATAAAAAATGAAGTTATTGTTGAAAAGTAACTGTGTTGATAAAGTTGAGTATGTGAAATGTGTGGTGGGTCTTATTTATTTCTGATTGCACAAAGTTTAGACAAACGAAAAGTCTAGTCTAGACTAATTGAGAACCTAACCTAACGGGTGGTTTTTAGTCAGTAAGAGTCTGACACTCCCTTTAGAAGTCATTCGATGATTTTTCCCCCTTAAAAAAAGTCTAGACTAATTACCAATAAGATTCCGTAAACAACACAACTTCCAACATTACATAAGCCATATTTATTTACCTAGCAAAGTCTTATTGGAATCAAACTAATGTAAATATCTTTGCTTCTAAAGTTACCGCATTATACATATTACGACTTATAGACCTTTAGAGTTTCTATGTTCCATCGAGAAAGCAATATGAAGATACCAAGAGCAATACGACAAGAACTTGTTGAGTAATTTTTAAGTAACTTTCATAATAAATATGATTTTTAACTGTCTCTCTTTCACCAGGTGATGTGCCCAGAACACTTCAAAGACCCAAAGGTCGGTGACAACGATGTTTGCGGCTGTCCTCTCGTCCGCAACGTGTTCAAGCCGACGGGAGATTTCTGCCGAGCCCCTAAGAAGGCTTGCTTGAAGCACTATCAATGGGAGAAACTGCGACGCGCTGAGATCGACATGGAGAGGGTTCGACAGTGGCTGAAGTTGGATGAGTTGGTGGAACAGGAGAGGAGTATTAGACTGGCTATGGCTTCTAGGTAGGTTTTTAGGTTTTGTAACGTGTAAATTTTAGGATAAAGGGTCGTTTGTAATCTTTCTGACATTATGCTGAAGTGGTGGTAAGTTACTCGAGTCGTGGCAAGATGTAAAGAAATTTAAAAGTAAAATAAATAAAACGACAGTCTTAATTGGTTTATTGCAACCAAGTCAAACGTGAAACTATCGATAAGCTTCCGTATTTATTTCAATTACTAAAAAATGGATACTTTTCAAAGATAATTAACATCTATCTTAAGTACGCACGTTAGATCTGTAAGTCATTGGGAAAGTTCTATGTTCGGCAGTGGGCGTTTTTTGGTTATTGTGATGAAGATGATGACGGACGTAAAATTTTCTTTTTGCTAAGTTGGTTGAAATATCTATAAGTTGTTGTAAATTTATTAATTCTTCACAATTTGTCCACAGAGCCGGAGTCTTAGGACTAATGCTTCATTCAACGTACAACCACGAGGTGATGGAACGCATCACAACCAAAGCGCCGGAGAATGGGAAAGTCAAGGAAACCTCCTGACGCTCAAACGACGCGGGGTCCGAAATATCACGCGACTCACGCCCTTAAATAAATAATAGACTACTTTAATATAGTTAATAATAATGAAAAAGTGTATTAATAAATAATGATTTTGATATAGTTCGTGTTCTTATTTATTTTTTACTTTTATTTTTGACCCGCATTTTCTCAAAATTCTGGGGTTCTAAGCACATTGGTGTCAGCCAGCATTACTATAAAGATAAGAAAATTAAAAAAGTGATACAGTACAGAGACAGTAACCAGTGCTTGGCTACTGAACCGACCAATGGTTACAGAAGACATGGCTTGGTTAAAAATATAAGTTAGTATAATACTGATGCTGCGGAAGAATGTGACTCCCATGCACCCCTGTACCCCGTGTGAGACCGGACAACGGGGTTTGGTTTTAATCAGTAAGAGTCGTGAAGTCCCTTTCGTTCTCCCCGAGTGAGGGGACTCCATGAGGATTGTCACCTTGGGGTCTGTTTGAATATCAAGCTCCAGATGAGTTGCTGGCGGTCTTGATTAATAAAAGACTTCAGTATGATGGGAATGGACTGTATTTAAATAGGTACTGATTGTAAGGGTCAATCGATACGTGCGCACGGCGTAGTGTCGGGCGAGTGAGTGATGATCGCCGATCGCGGCGGTCGCGGGCCACATATGGTCGTCCGCCTGATGTGACGTCAGGAACAGGGTCAAAAAAAAGTATAAATTGATATGGTAGTACTCTCTTTAATAATTTAATCTTTGTTTCCTTACCTGCATAGTAAATAGTTGTGCTGACTGTACATGGTTAGTTTTCTATCAGCCTGTATTTTAGTACCAGCTAAAGTTGGTACCACATTCATAGATTTACCCTATGACCATTATGGCTCCTTGTGAATATCTAGGTTATGAGATAAAACTTATGTTAAAAGGATGTGGAATCAAAACAAATCGATACCTACATGAAAATTCGGATTTCCATTGTTCACGCATCACACGTAAATGGCTCGACTGATTTCGCTAATGTTCTCTTTTTTGTTGTGATCTGTCCAAGTTGGAGTATTAACTTCTGAAAAAGTAATTTGTTCCTTTAGGAAAAATAAAAATAAATTTATTTTTTTATTTATTTATTTATTAACGCTTCATGCACAAAGTGTACACAAGGTGGACTTAATGCCGCAGGCATTTTCTCCCAGTCTGACCTTTGGGTGATGCAGAGAAGAGTGAATGGTAGGAGCAAGAAGCAGGCAACGATTTAATTGAGAAAATAGAAGATTATACTAACATATTTCAGAAATGAACATAAATAAATATAATAGTAATACATATACCTACACACGAGTACAATACAATATACATACATACATACATACATACATACATACATACATACATACATACATACATACATACATACATACATACATACATACATACATAGACACATAGCATATAAATATGAACATAATAACTAATACTCTGTAAATAATTAGCGTGATGATTCAGCCAACCTCTTCAAGAGAAGCTCACGTACTTTCTGCCTAAATGTTAGACGTGTCGACACCATCCTGACATCCAGGGGGAGCGCATTCCACAGCAAAATTGCCTGTACGAAAAAAGAAGAATGAAGGAAATCAGTGCGATGAGTGGGACATTGGAGAAGACGGTTATGGGAAGAACGAAGGTTTTTACTGTGGTTTGCGCACAAGTATTGAAAGTAAGGAGATAGATAACTGGGTAAAGAAGGTGAACAAAGAAAGGAGAACAGAGTGGTTAGCGCCCTTTGCTCCCTGCGCTGGCGTATGGGCAGCCACTTTAGTTGCAGCCGATGTGCCGAAACATGATCATATTTACGCAGGTTGAAGACGAATCGAATGCAGTTATTCAGAAGTCGGTCAAGTTTGTTGAGGAAATCTGCATTCAGGTCGAAGTAGCACACATCAGCATAATCGATAATAGGGAAAACCAAAGCCTGCACCAACATAGCCTTCGTAGCGGGAGGAAGTAAGTTTTTCGCACGATACAAAACTCGCAAAGATCCAGTAACTTTTTTGCACACACTGGTGACCTGAGCATGCCACTTCAAATTTTTATCCATATGCAGTCCCAGGTTTTTCACCTCATCACTATACGGGATTACTGCTCCATCGAAAACTACGGCCGGCAAGGAAGCCATGTCAACTCCATTCAACGTGCGGGGGCCACCTATAAGAATGGCCTGACATTTCCCAGGATTCACTGCTATGCCAAACCTATCGGACCAGTTTAGAATGGCCGCCAGGTCATCGTTCATCTCCGAGATCGCATCAGACAGCCCATCAACATCAGCTTGACGATATAGCTGCAAGTCGTCAGCGTACAGATGGTACGCACACCGAAGTTCAGAAGTTATAAAATTAATGAACATAGAAAATAGAAGAGGAGATAGTATACCGCCTTGAGGAACGCCAGCCCTTAATTCACGCCAATTAGACGAAACATCATCAAGCTTGACCGACTGCTGACGCTCCTGAAGATAAGAAGAGAACCAGTTCAGTGGTTTGTCAGAGATCATAAGATGGGATAGGACGGCTAGAAGGATGTCGTGACTGACCATATTGAAGGCATTCGAGAAATCAACTAAAACCAGAATTGTAACCTTGGTGTTCTCGAGGCCAGTTCTAATATCGCCAGTCACCTTAAGGAGAGCGGAGGTAGTGCTGTGACCTGGTCTGAACCCGGATTGGAGAGGACTAATAAGAGAATTCCGGAAAATGAAGTTGGACAGCTGTTTGTGTACACAGGCCTCAAGCACTTTGGAAAGGAAAGGAAGTATGGATATGGGACGGAAATGAGTGGGGAGAGAAGGATTTGAGATTTTCGGGAGAGGACGAACAAAGGCCTTACGCCACAAGGATGGAAAGGTTCCTGAAAATAGGGAAAAATTTACAATATGGGTTATTGCTGGCAGGATGTGATCCAGTACAGTTGTGATCATGTGACGAGAGATATTATCACATCCTACCGCTTTGGACTTAATGGACAGGATTATCTTTCCGACCTCCACCGACTGAACCGGTGCAAAGCAAAAAGGACAAGAAATCTTAGGACGCTCCAGACCATCAATGAAAGATAACGTATTTTGTTTGACTAGACGATCCATGATAGGGACAGTGGAGAAATGGTTATTTAGATCATCTAAGCCAATTGTGTTAGGAAGGTCTGGATATTGCGTTTTACCGATACCCAGAGTTCCGAGGAATTTCCAAATATCGGCAGGAGAAGAAGAAGTGATGTTTTCAAGAATATGGCGGCGTTTAGCGTCTCGTACCATCTGGTTACATTTGTTTCGTGCTAATTTAAAAGCAACCCAGTTCTCGTCCGTGCGATCCCTTCGATGTTTGCGGAACGCGCGGTCCCGGCGTCGCATGGCCATCCTTATACCACGCGTCATCCACGGTGCAGGTGGCCGCTTGACCTTAATCCTCTTAATGGGAGCATGGCAGTCGTACAGCTCAGTCACCAGAGTGTTGAAGAGCGCAATCTTATCATCAATTGTAGTTGCCGTCATCAGAGGCTCCCAGTCAATTAAGGAGGCATCGACCTGAAGCTTAGCCATGTCTATTCGCGCAAAACAACGCCGGTACAGAACCTTGGCTCTCACCTTGGGCGGTTTCAGGATATAGGAAAGGAAGATCATGTCATGGTGAGAAAAACCCGGAGCATCATGCTGACCATGACAGGATACGAGGGAGGGATTAGAGACAAGGATAATGTCAAGCCAGGAATCATCGCCTACAGTGTTGTGGTGAGTAGGATTAAGTGGTAGTAACTGCAGGCCAGATGACTCAACTATGTGCAGAAGTCTACGGGAACGATGGGATTCATGGGAAACAAGGTTTGTGTTAAAGTCGCCCATGATTATGTGATGTGCGTACTCAGAACCCAAAGACTCAAGAACTGATTCGAATTCAGTGAAATAATCAATAGTAGGAGGACAGTAAATAACACCCAACACTATTTTCACCCCCCGGCTACAAACTTCAAGGAAGAGATACTCCGCAGGACAATTGGGAGAGGAAGAAAAAAGCACCTTAAAAGCAAATTCACTGCGGAGATATATACCAACACCCCCACCCCTCCTAACAGTACGGTCGTTACGTATAAGAACATAACCAGGAAGGGGATAGGTTGTTGATATTAACTGTGGTTTGAGCCAGGTTTCAGATATCAGGATGGCGTGTACGTTACTATTGTTGAATGCGTCGAAAAGTTCACCGTGATGACTGGGGATACTTTGCGCATTCAGGTGGCAAACATTCAACACATTAATTTTATCCGTAAAACGGCTATGTATAAAATCCGGCAGGGAAGCATATGACAAAGAGCAAAAGCTATCATTATCTGAATATGAGTTGGCTGAGGCAAAGGAATCCTCACTGGACATCAATAAAATATTTCAGAGTATGTATTACAAAATAATAACTATACTATAATAATATTACTAAACTAGATCTGATACTTAAAAATAAATAAAAATAATATAAGTATGTTGATGCAATGATAAATATTGTAAGCAAATTACAATATCGTTCATCTCTGAGATTTTACAAAAAGATCTCTCAGATGATTTAAAATTGAGTGGTGTCTGTGTATTTGGATATAAGTCCGTCAAAGAAAAGTAAAACAATATATTTTCAATTAAGTATAACAACTCACAGAAATATTAAAAGATCACCCCCATTTGATCACCCTTCATAATCGGCCCGCGTCATCCTCGCATTGTGCGACTGTGTCCAAACGACACATTATCTTCGGTTCCGATTTATTAAAAACATATTAGCGCATTTGCGTAGAAAAGGAGATTGTACGCTCGTGTGGTTATTTATAAGAGGAGTATAAAATTGTCGATTTGGCTTTTTAATATCGAACTTGAATAAAAATATAATCATTGGTAGTGTCTAGTTTGGTAAAAAAATAATTAGTAGGTAAGTATGCAGTTATATATTCGCCAACTGGATTTTTAATTCAAGTGATCATCCAATGACTTCTTTCGCCTTGCAATGATCGCGAGAGGACGGTCTTTTTGACTAAAGACCACTCTTTCTTTCTCCTGCTTAGATGCGGAGCCTCAGAGCTTCGGTAACCCAGTCAAGTACGTATCTATCTAATTACCCATTTTACAAACATTCCTAAAATATTAAAAACGGACTAATAATTTGTGGGATCTCTTTAGCCAATAAGACCTGATGATCACATTTACAAAAAGTAGCTCCAGCCAAAATACATTTAAAAACAATAAAACAATATAGGTAATTTACAGCAACAAACCGCGACAGTGGCGATGCACTTGCGTCACATTCGATCACCGCCTTGTTATGCAGCTACCCTAAACAATTAGTTCACAAAGCGAAGCATTAGTTATCATATCAAAACATATTTTATCCCCCGGCACCACGTGCGGCCGCTACAACGCCCCCTGACTTTAATAACAGCCCTTCCCTTTGTAATTGAAGCGTGTAATTCGGTGACATGTTTTTCTAAATCTCATAATTTGACACGGATTTGTATTGTATTGGACAACTCTTGTTAGAGACTGATCTCTTGAGTTTAGGTTTTACAGGCTAGTGGTCGGCTCTCAGAATATGTTAAGCTGCCGACGGCGGTTGCAGCTAGTACCTAAATAGTGTACCCAAGTTAGTAAACCTAAGTCAGAAAATACCCTAAGGTTGACTGTTAGAGAATGCCACTAGGTATTATTGTATACCCATCGTGCAAAAAGTGTAAATCAATAAATAAAAAATCACCTTCATTTTATATGGTTATTTGCATCTTTGTCTTGCATTATTACTGCATGTAGGTAAAGGATACATGCGGACAGATAGACCATCTATTTTTGAGTTGAAGTAAAGTTAAAGCTACGAATCACATCTATTACGAACTCACTAAATTTTAAGGGATAGGTAAGCGGTTGCCGACTTGTTTACTGAAATAATTATGTATGATCCTATATCTATTTACCTATAGCATAAGTATGCGTGCAAGGTCGGAAATCGCTCTGGAAAACTATCAATCTGGAGATGTCTTAAAAATAATGTAATAACTCTTTAATTCTGCTCATATGGTTTGACTGAAAACAACTCCAGAGCAACCAGAGAAGAGTTCAAAATCAAAAATCCCAACAATAGTTTTGAACTTGAAACTTCACAGTAGTTTTACCAATTCAACGAAGCAGACAAAAAGAATTAACACATCAATACAACCCCTCTTCGGAAGAAATGAAAAGCTTTACCCAATCTGCACCAATTTTGTGTCAAAGTTGACAAATATCGTCAATTTCGTCAGCAGGACAATGCATGCGTGGCTAATCCGCCATCTGTCCCGGTCACGCCTATCCAGCTAATATGATATGATCAATAACAGATTAGCCAATACGAATATTATTAGTTGCAGGTGCATTCTTGATTGTACGACAAGTTAGTGGACTGTATCTGAAAAAAAATTTGATCAGTTCTTGCATAGACAATGTCATAATGTGATAAGGTTAAGTCTAAGTTAAGTCTTCGTACTTAAGTCAATCTGTCTCCTACATTAATTTATAGAGAGAAGTGTTCAAGAGACTTCAGTGTTCCGATGTTTTCATGGTTGTATCTACTGTAGATCTTGGCGTACCTACAGGAGTTGCAGCAGTTTTGGGAGAATGTGGTGATCACTAATCCTACCTCCTCGCGGATGTCGTAAGAGTCCACTAAGGGACAACATATTAAACATAGTGACTGGGCAGTCTGCTCTAAAACTGCGATATCCGTACCACGTAAGATTTTTAAATGACAATGATATGGACTACTTATAAAAAAGAAAATTGAATTGAATGACAACGTCATGGGCGTCCGTGGAGAATAACAAAAATATTTAAAAAAAGAACTGCGATCGCCCATCCTACTTACTTATCGTGGAGACTATTGCAATATTATTATTGATTTTAGACAAGTTGCTGATTTTAATTGCGCTATGATCTGAAAGAAAATATCTAATAATAAAATTTTATAACACATTTTATTTTCTTCCATCATATTACATAGTGATGTAGACCTTAATACTAGTTTTATAATATTGACAAAGTTTGTGGTAGACTGGTTCTACATATGGTTTTGCGTAATTTAAGTGCCAATGCGAATGACTTGCAGTTTTTGTTTTCTTGGACTTACGACGACGACTATAAGAGCAATGATGAAATAATTCAAAACTGCCGAGAGGAGAAGATAATCACAGGTTTCTTTTAAGTGGAAATAGGCGCGAAAGGTGAAACGGTAGAATGCATACAAAAATATTCTAATTGCCTACCATGAAAGTGCTCTTACCTAATCTATGCCTATGCTGAACTATTTTATTGTATTATAAAAAACATAACTTTAGTTTGTAAAGGAGATATAAATACAAAAATATAGGTATAGAACTTAAAATTGTCTACAACGAAAATAGGGAATAAAAAGAAGCTTAAAAAATATTGTCTTTTAACATTTATCTCGCTGTATGTTAATCCTATACCATGTCAAACCATGCATTTTTCACTGCTTTCACGTAGTTTTACAGCAAAATTCAGAAATCAGAGGTCGATACCGACCGCCTCTTGCGCCTGCTGCGACCAATCAGATCTTACCACCCTCATCTCTCCCTTCATCCAACCAATCAGAAGCGAGAAGACTGTTTCAACTATGGTTAGGGTTGAAATTATACTTTGATATTGCAATTTGATTCCTACACCCTTACATTTTGATAATATTTTTGAAAAGCAAGGGAAATTAATAAAATTGAAGCCCAGAGCATGAAGTTATAATTTGATTTAGTTTATTTTGGTGCGTCGTGGATTGTGGTTGGTCTTTGAAGGTCCTTGAGTGATCTGTAGTGCCTAAAGGGTGGTGTCAGTTTTGTTCAAGGGTCTGTGCAAAGGTATCAAAATTCATTTCCCGCTGATGTCCTACGGCAGCGAGACGCCGCACGTCTGGAGCAGCTCAGCAGTAAGTTGTCTTTAAATATTATTTAAAAAATAATCCAAAAGGGATTAAATCCATGTTGTACTATTTGTCTATATATTTCTCATTGCAATGGAATCGTGTTCCAGCTACTTACTTATGCTTTTATTTTAAAATAGTCGAGGTGTTATTTATGCCTACGGAGGGGCCGGGGGTTTTTGATTTCGCATTCATGTTATTCTTGCATTATCTATCAAAACGCTGAAATTCTAGCATTACAGGATCCTCAAATATTAAAATCAAATAAAGTCAAATAGTAAAAAAAATGATGCAGATACCTAAGAACAGTATTTGTAGTACTTGCTTATCAAAGAGGTCCAATATTCATAAAATAAGTATTTATTTCAAAACTGTTACGTAAAGGTATGGGAAATTAAATCACTCCCATAGCATCAGTTGTTCGAATATACTTACAATTTATCAAATGAATTCTGTCAATCTGGATGCGGCGGGAGGGGGTGGTAGACAAGGCATTTTTTAAGGGGCAATATTATCCACTGACTTTTGTTTACACTCTAACTGACTAAAAACCACCCTGTTCCTTCTCCTGCACTTCGAGCGGGAGCCCCGGCCACCTTTTAAGGCCTCTGCGGCTCCGTATCGGCATCAGGGCCTATTAGACCCCATCTGTGGTGGTCTGATGGCTCTTTGAGACGCGCGTGGAACGCGACGCGCTATACGTGTTAGGTGTGGTTCTTCACCCATGCTCGCCGTCCGCAGGCCCGTGCTTACGGTGGCCGGAAATCGTCACATGATCCAAGACGTTCGAAGTGTCTCTCGCGGCGGCTGAGGCGTAAGGAGGTTCCTTCCCTCACGCACTCTGCCTCCTCCTTAGCTAGCATGACTGCTTCGCAGAAGGACGAGACGGCATGCCAGTCTCCTCGCTCCGTACCATGGTCTAAACTACTCCAGAGCCGGCCGCGAAAGGTCGTAGTCGCTGAACACATCCTTGAGGACACTGCGGTGCGCAGCCCACGCAGGGCACACTACCACCGTATGCTCCACCGTGTGCTCTGCGCGGCCCTCGCAGTGATGAGACAGACAAGGCCGGGATAATTTTTACTTAGTTAAGTGCTTAGGTGTGTAGGTGTCTACGTAAAAATCATCCCGTTCCAACTCTTGCTCCGTGCCGGGGCCGTGATACCTATCTAGGTACTTAAATAGCAACCTATCCGTAAGCCCGGTTGGATCATTGGATAATAGCCTTTATTTATCTAGGTATCTGTATTTATGTGGTGTTCTGCTGTCCAGGGTAGCGAGGTGTCTCCATACGGTCCGCTGTGGGACGCTCCGCCGGCACCCGTGCCGTATCCCGACATCCTGGCGTTCCCGCCAGCCGACCTTGGTAATTAGTCTACCTTTTTTTTAAATATTTTTTTATCATCAAGAGCTCAAGAAGGACTAGATTTGTATCACTAAATACATTACATGCATAGGTACTACTCGCCAACATTAAACTCTTCATTGTAAGTGTACCTACCTACTTAGGTAATCGAATTGAAATTGATTTTCTTTTTTTTATACCACGACGTTGGCATAAAATGCACACGGCCCCCTTGATGGTAAGCGGTTACCGTCGCCTATCTTTAATTCTACCATCAGACTTTTGGCACATCGGTCTAGATTTCGTTTTCGTTTATGCACCACATAGGTGCATCGTTAGGGGAGTATTATCCTTCAACAGTTCTGTAGGTATTCAATAAGAGCAGTTGTGTCAAAACACTGTTAGTAGACTGTCAAGTTTTCTTTTATACTTCGTAGAAATACCAAGTGGTTTTACATAATAATTTTACCCACCCAATTAACATGACTAGTGTGGTCGGCGGCGGGTTGCGGCGGCCGAGCTGGTGCTCGCGTGCCTTCAGGCGGCAAGAAACCACGTCGCCGTGTCGCGTCCGTGGCACAACGTCGCGCGGCCAACATTCGCGAGCGACGCCGCATGTTCAATCTCAATGAAGCCTTCGATAAATTGCGTAGGAAGGTTGGTATTGATTATTAAGCTAAACCAATGCGTGTCGTCGTCAGGTGGCAAGAAGGCGCGGCACCGTGTCGCCTCAGTCGCGCAACGTCGCGCCGCCAACATCCGCGAGCAACGACGCACCTTCAACCTCAATGAGGGCTTCGATAGGTTGCGGAGGAAGGTTTGTACTTGATACTTATTGTAATGCATGTTTAACTACCACCAGTACCTCCAGTTACTGCTGAGCGTTCACCAGAAGAGGTAAGTGGCCTTTTGTCAATGATTTAACCATACTCATTGTTCACAACCCATGTAAAGTGAATAGCTTACGTCCTTGAAATCATCAATGAGTTATTTGAATAGCTGTCTCCTTACTGCCAATTTCAATAACCTATCTGAATAGAAAATCGGTAGTTATGGATCCATTTTTGACAATAGTTGTAAGGAGTTTCTATTATAAATCAGGAATTGGATACGATTGAAATTGGCAGTAAGCACGTTCACTATCCAATAAATGTGGTTTAAGGAAAGATCGAAGGTAGAGCTCTACATCCCGCGACTACTGTGATACCTCAAGCTCAGAAAGCAATGCTCTCTGATCTTGATTTATCAATATATCTAAAATACTATGAATATGTCTTAAAATCTGGTTGGGAGGACCTACTATAAAAATATTCCCATCAAATAGCCGGGATTTATCAAATACTCACGACTCTGCATTAGGTATATCTAGCAGCATTAGGTCTTGTATCCTTAATTCTCCCATTTTAAACTCGTCCTAACAAAATTTCATTACTCTTTTTTTAATGGATGTTTTTGTTTAGGTGCCGACGTTTGCCTACGAGAAGCGGCTCTCCCGCATCGAGACTCTAAGACTGGCCATCACCTACATCAGCTTCATGTGTGAGCTGCTGCATGGATCTCCTCAACCTCACCACGCGTCTCATGCTATACATCCTCCAAGACATGTGTTTGATGCTGAAGTACCATGGTGCGCTTAGGAGTCTGTTCTAAAAAGTTCTATGTTGTTTTATGTTGTTTTCAAGTCATTTGAAATATTGGGATGGTGTCATATTATAATATGTAGTAGATATTGATGTTTGGTTGCAGTACAAACAAAGTACCTTTAATTTAAATGTAGTATTTAAAGTGATTGCTAAATGTATAGGGAATCGTAATGAATAAAAGAAAGTGAAGCACTGTAGTTGTGCCAACGGTGGCGTAACTATACCGTTTGGAGCCCACGACAAATTCATCGGATGGACCCCGATTCCCAATGAAAAACAGAGAAGTTCAGATGAAAAGGACTGAATGGGGCTTCCAGCTAGAGGCCCGTGGCAGTTTTACGACTTGCCACCCTGTAGCTACACCACTGAATCCAACAACGTGTAGCGAAGTAGCTGTACCATGTACCATCGAAAACGAAATCAGGGAAAATAAGGATTACTCAAAGAAATATGATCTCAAAACTCAGTAATATGACACTATCCACACAATTTGTGTGATTTGTTTTATTTATTACCCAGCTGGATATCTTATTGATTACTTTACATACATCTCTTCTTCTTAGTCGTTCTCTTCGTCTACTGAAGGTCGTCTAGTCTGGTGCACGCGTCACTTGATGCACAACCCTCCTCTAAACACCCCTGTCCTCTGTGGTTTTATGGCTTGTGGAACTGTCAGGCCGGTTAGGTTTGTTACAGCATCTAACCACCGGGTAGATGAGCGACCACGAGATCTTTTCTCGTTAACTTAACCAAAAACCACAAGCTTCTCCAGATTGTTGGGATCTCTACGCGCAATGTGGCAACAATAGATTAGTTATAGTTACATACATAATGAACTATATATTACTCAAGGACTATTATAAACTTTTTGATACGGTCGGCAGCAGGTCAATCTTCTCTTTTCTGTCAAATTTTTTTGTTAGATTTTCAACTCTGTCATTTAGATATAAACAAAATTTTAATGACAAAATTGACGCATTGGATTTGGTTTTGCTGGCCATTGCATAGATTAGTCATTTATGAATAAAAATATACTATAATCATCAATATCATACTGTACTTTAAGTTATAAGTTAGTCATTTAGATATAAGTGGAAATAATCATGCGAAGTTATCTATAGCTGATTATAATTGTGTCTTCCATTAATTTGTATTATTAGACAATAAATCATTTTCGAATACAAGAACGTTTTTAATTTTAACACTATCTTTTGACATTGGCTATTTACCCGTATATTAGCATGTCTTCCGTAATTCAAACTGTACATTATTATGACAACATATTCCGCAAATGATTGGGACTATAAAGCACACTGATTCGATAGCTTAGGACTGGTATCTGCTTATAAAACTTGGAGTATCTCAAAATGTACAGATTCTAGCTAAAAAATAAACAAATTTTCGTCACCTCCTAGAGTAGACCGACTCGATGGACAGGGTGGGAGTTATCTTGGGGCCTATTACAAAGTTTCAAACACATAATAAAGAATTCACGAGGTAGTTATTGAGGCGAAAATCATCAAACGTGTTTGACCGTCTTGGGTGAGGCGATAGGGAATGTGTAAAATCATTCATTCGTAGTTATAAACGAATAACCCGTGGTACCTCGGGACGTAGATCTACGCGAGACAATGTGTTTTGTATTGTGTCTCATATACCGACATTCAAGCGGTTACAGGATTACTTTCAGCAAAACTCGATTTGCTACGAGTCTCCTATTAACAATAACAAATGAAACTTCGTCTGTGTTCTTAAACTAGTATAATTTAGGAGTCTTCAAAGTAGGGGTGAAACGGCACAGCTGCGCTTCATCATCCGCTGCACCATTTTGCTTACCACCAGGCGAAATAGTGTTCATAATGACTACAATAATTCTTTTATAAACATTACACAACATCACGCCTTTTATCCCCGAAGGGGTAGACACAGAAGTAACACCCACTTTTCACTATATATGTTATGAGTCCCATGTAAAAGGGGGTGAGCCTATTGCCATATACCGAGCACATTTCCAGACGCCGTGCTGTTACTGCCTGCTATTACTGAGATTTTATAAACTACGTTTAAAAATAGGCTTAAACACCCTACTTTTTAAGACGGTTAATTAATTAATAAAAACTAAAATATCTAACTAAATGTAACAAACACTTTTCTGTAACCACATTAAAGTCGGTTCAGTCAATAGCGAGATTATCTTGCACAAACAAACATACATAGATACAGGTCGAACCACCTTTTTTGAAGTCGGTTAAAAATACATTATTCTTCTATTGCTTTTTAAACAAACCAAGTTAAGAATAGCTCAGTAATTTTGGAAATCAGGGTTATAATTATAACTTAAGTACCTAGGCCATTTAGTAAGGTAATGATCTAATTTTATGATTAACTAGCTGTGCCCGCGACTTCGTTCGCGTAGAATAGTGACTATGGGCAGCGTTTTTTTTTTAAATATATACTTATTTTTATTTTAGATTTGGATCATAATCACAGTCATTTTGGGTAGCTAAAAAACCTACTTTACTGTAATGCTTCTCTATATACAATATTAGACGTATGGCCATCGGGGGTGAAAGCATACAGGCTGCTGGGATTGCTAACACGGGACAGAGCCACATACAATTGACCGTGCGAAAAACAGCTGATACTTAGATCTATACCCAAAACTTTTAGAGTCTGACCTTGAGCTTTATTAATTGTCATGGCGAAACATAGGCTCACTGGAAACTGAATTCGTTTAAAATTAAACGGAAAATTTTTTGGAATGAGAGGAATCTGAGGAATAAAACCACTATCACCTTTTCCGCACCCTGTTAAATATATATATATTTATAAGCCGTTTCTGAGATTAGCGTGAACAGACAAACAGACAAACAGACAAAAAAAAAGTTAGTTACATTTTTGGGTTCGACATCGACATAACAATAGCCCCTGCTATTTTTTTTATTTTTATTTTCAATGTACAGACAGTGCTTTTCTACAATTTTATTAAATGTATAGATGTGTGTAAGGATTACTCAATGAAGAAGACGCAATTCTTTTCAAAATGATTCAACAACAACAACAACATAAAAATGCCCACAGCTGAGCAAAGCCTCTTCTCACACGAAGAAGGTTTGAGCATTAATCACCACGCTTGCACAATGCGGGTTGGCGATTCCAAACTCATAATTAGAAGTAAGCCCAGGTTTCCTTACGATGTTTTCCTTCACCGCTTGTCAGTGGTGTCTAGATAATCTTAGAAAGTACATAAAACTCGGAAAAAATCACATTGGTACTTGCTGTTGGTAAGTTTCGAACCCGCACCCCTATGTATGAGAAGCGGGCGTCTTGAACCTCCGGGCCAACATTAGGTAACGATAATCATTAGTTCATTACATTAGGTAATGATAACGATATATTAATTAAACTTAAATGGCTCATCCTCATTTGCGATGAATTAGGACATTTTCGTCATCTATTTAGTATATAATCAGGATTCAGTTTTAAACTTATTTAGTATCGACGTGTTGTTCGCAAGAGCGGTATCTCAAGTGAATCTATTCTTTTCAAATAAGGAGCGTCCAGTGTTATCAGTGATTTGTAATTAAGACCAAAAATTATATAAAAATGCGTCTGTCTGTGTTGAATGTAAGTACCAAATATATTTTTATTATTAATGTATGTTGTATGAGCCAGTTAGAATCACTGTAGTATTTATTTAAAGCTTTTGAAGTTGTGCACCGTCGTCATTATCTATCAGTTCTTATTTTCATTTACTAAATGATTATGAATACTCGTAGAGTTTATTTTATTTAGAAAGTGCGTTAGGTGAGGTCTGTTTCATCTTTTAATTGTTTAAATCGTTCTTCTCAGTCGGTCTTGAAGACAGTATTATTTAAGGATATCTTTTGTTCCAGCTTTTACTATTAACCATCGTCGCCATTGCTTCATCAGAAGAACGTCATAAAAGACATATTCCAATCTTGATGAAATGGATAAAATCAGCTTTATTTGGACCAGAAGACACCATCATTGAAGAGGTAGCTGTGCCACCATCGAGGCCTGAATACGAGGTGTTTCGACTACCTGGTCATGATGATGTAGTGGTCAAGGTTAGTCCTAAGATCCTCAACGCTGAAGGGGTTGTGTATCGAGAAGTAGAACCAGTAAACCTCAAAGCCTTTGGAGCAGTTGTAGGGATAGAATCCCAAGATGATACCATGGCAGCCGTAAGAGAAGTAGACAACCTACTCTCTTCAGGCATTTTATATGGAGGATACGACGATGTGATGAAAGACCATATCATCGCAATGTTTCCTGGTATAAGAACTATAGATGAAGAAATTGTTCCTGTTATTGAATCAAGGCCGATCATATCAGAAGTTATTACGCCTTCAGAAGAAGAAGTCGAATTGGAAGTGCCGCTTGATAAAGATTCGTATGAACAGCTAAATGATCACAAACAAGCAAAAATAATTACTGCCGATACTAAACCTGGAACAGAGTTAGTGGAAACTATTACAAATAATGAACTGCCTAACGGTATAACGAGAAGAATTGGTGCAGCGGTTCTCCTAGGTGCAGATTCTTCCGGATATGAGCGGGTGGAAGAAGTTAATTCAGCCCCCATAGTTGAAATCAGCTACCCAAGCCTAGGAGATCCATTAATCGAAAATCAGCTTCACGAGAAAATGTTAAAAGGTTTTAAAAGGGTTACTGAATTGGAACGGTCCACTCCATTATTAGTATCTCAGAAACATGCAGATTCTTTAAAACCTGTTGATTTAGAAGAAGCTGAAGTTACTTTGTCTAAGGATGATGGTAATTCTGAGAATGAAAAGTTAACTGCTTTCACAAATATTGGTAAAGACGTTAACATATCTGAGACGCTTGGACCTATACCATCTTTGTACTTGGAACGTATGAACTATACGGACAGTTTGAAGAATGAACAACTGAAATCAATAATCATCGCACCAACTACTAAAGAGTCTATTGCATCCCAACGTGTTGAAAATTCGAATCTTCCCTCAAATTCATTACAACTACTGAAATCAAAAGTGATAAATCCTCACCCATTATTTTTCTCCTCTTTACACCCAGTTCATTTCGAAGACGTTCAAGTTAATGTGTCTAAGGATACTATTAATTCGAAGAATGAAGACTTATCTCCTTACACAAATACTGATAAAAAGGTGGACCTATCTCATACGTTGGGACCTATACCATATCCATATTCTAAGCATCTTGAAATCACGGACAATTTGAAGACCAATGATCAGCCAAAACCAGTCGTCATCGCACCATTTAAGGAATTTAGTCAATCTCAATTTGCTAAAAATGTTGTTGTTGCACTTGAAAATTCAGAGACTAAAATCAATAAGGAAACTAACCAAGAGGAAACAGACCAAGAGGCACAATCTGAAGAAAATGTTCCATCTTCACCTATTGAAATTGCGACAGTGCCTGCAACATCAAAGAGTGCGCACAAGAAAGAAGATGACGAAGTACGAGTCCAAAAACAAACTACAACAAGCAAACCTGAAGGTAACATTTCCGAAGAAAAGGATAACGGTTACGTTTACGTTAATCACCCTAATTCTACCAAAGAAAACCTAGCAAAAGAAAGTGATGTTCTTAAGACCAATGTGAAAACAAACAGTAATGATAAACTTAAAGTTGTCGCACCTGTAAAAGTAGAACTGGATAAAACAGATGTTACACAATCAAAACATAAGCCAGATGAAAAGGTACCTGAACGTAAAAGGGTTGTAGTACCAGTAGTTTCTAGTACAAATCCACTTAAAACAAATGAAGTGAAATCTTTAACACAAAATCCAGTATTCGCTTTAAACAACGTAAGGAATAACAAAGATGATCATCAAGAACATTCTAAAATAACTGAACCACGTATAAAACTTCTTCTCACCAACAAAAGCAAGTAGATGACTCGTCAATAAACGTAAAAGCACATAAAGATGACATCTCAGTTGATTTCAAAGGAAGAGGAGATATACCAGAAAAATTATAGGGCAAAATAAATAGACAATAAGTTAGTTTTAAATATTTATTAATATCAGATTTACTTAATTTAATATTTATTCTAAATATAAGCTTGTAATAAACAAATATACTTAATAATTTAAAGCCTGTTTTTTTTTTCGTTGGAGTAACATGGCACAGATTATAAATGTGATGGATTTTTCATTCAACAAGTTTACTTCGAAGCAAAATTCATAAACATAAATATGTATATAAATAAATGCATTTGTAAACTATTTTTAAAGACATCTTCTTTCACAAGGCCGAAGGAATTATTTTATGCATCAAATGTATTACAAATTGTCAATTTTCGTAAATAATTTATTTAGATGCTTGGTTTTTGTATCAAATGATTAGGACTCACTGCGTGAATCTAAAAAGAAATTAAGTTCTTAGAGTAGATGCAGGTTTATAATAGCAATAGTTTTCTTCGATTTATCAGTGATAAAAGATAAATGGTCTGAATTCAAAAAGCTAACTATTTTTATTGCAAAGCGGTCTAATCATTTGAAACAAGTTTAATGGGATAATAAAAAGTTACAAAAATTGTACAACGACCAGGATTTTGACACATTTTTTAAAGAACTTAAAACTGTACATACAAATGATAGGGTTTACATATTTCCTTCTGATTTATGGTTAAAATGTAAAGAACACAGCAATTCAATCTATTTCTTACTATTTGGCTACCTATTTAGTTTCATAGACAGGAGGATTTTGATAGAATTAAAATAAACTTTAGACAGTTGTAACTTTAACGACACATATTTTAGACCTTATTTTTTAACAGTTTGGGGTCAATTTTATTCTTTGAATAATATACAATATTACATTTACTTGTTAAGTACAACAACACGTATAGATTTCCATTGATTTAATCATAAAAAGATTTCTAAGCTTGTTTTACGAGCTTAGACCATCGAGCGCCAATCAGTGCCTTGCATTCTTTGCAACTGTCAACTGTCAAATGATTTCGCGCCCTTTTATACAGATGCAAAATGAAACCTGCCAGTTATAGGCATTAGAATGTAATTCATTTTCCCTAAACAATACAAAATCAAAATTTGAGCTTCACGGTTTTTCAACAATTCGTTGTCCTCAAGAATTTTAGACCAGTAATTCGTCAATTTATATACATAATTATTTTGCGCATCGTCACGGATACAGGTTAAAAAAATCGGACATAACTGTACAAATCTCAAAAAATTGTCTCAAAAAAAGGAAAATGAATGCTTTGTCGAAAGATACAAGTCGGGAGCCATGTTTTAAATCAGTCGTAGTTCAAACAGCGCTTTCTCTGTGTAACGTGAGGGTGACGTCGGGAGGGGGAGGTTCCCAGCGCTGATCCCAGGCGGGTTTGCGGCGCCGCTCGACAGGTGGCGCTGAGTCACCTGACCCATCCGAGTAGCCGCTACTGCAGGACCGTAAACTGCATGATGCGTGCACTTTGTGCTCTGTAATAAAAAAAAATATTTAGTTTAGTTTATATTTAACTAATAATAAAAAAACAAGTTATAAGTACTCTTAAAGGTTGCCGTTGTTTTTAACCAGAATTTTATTATTATAAAAGATAATCTTTGCATCAAAATTACGTATTAGGTCAAGACAATTTTTTTGACCCGGGAATGAACTAATGAGGCAGTCTCTGATTCGGTCAATAAAGATTTTCTTTAAATATTATTTTCAATATTAACTGGGGAACATACCTCCAATATTATCCAGATAGTTTCTAGCTACGTCGTCGAGCTGCAGCACCTGTATGACGGGCTGCGGCTTGGAGCGCGGCCTTCGAGCCAGCCGCACCACCAGCACAGAGGATATTAGGAACACTGCCACCAATACCACGGCACCCAGTGATATACCCACGTCTCTGTCTAGGAAAACTGGAAATAAAGACGGTGCATTCATAAACTAGAATTATGGTTTAAATTACTTTTTCTTCTATCATTGAAACATTAAGTTTAGTAAGCATTGTAATATTTTGATAAACTACCGCCATCTGTTGACCAAAACACGGTTTACGGGATAAAGTGAAGGGTAGAACACACTGCGTAGTTTGGTTTGTGAATTATTGAAATGCCTACTAGATGTCTCTGTTTATCAACTTGTTAAACGTGATTTTGTTCGTAATAAACTCAAGTGGTTTTTGAAACAGGCACTAGATGGCTTTGTTTACATTATTGTTGTTAACAATTTTGCTCTGTGAAAACGAATTACTTGACCCAATTCAAGTTATTATTAAAGCAAGTTTTTAGTATTTATTTATTTCTTTCTTTCTTTAGAGGAGATAATTTTCTAAAGCACAGTTTTACTTGTGAATGAATTTTCAAATTTGTATGGTAATAGAAAACTTACAATGCCACCACGGTGGATCAGCAGCATGTAGCAATGTATCTGTAGGCCGGAGAAGCAGCGGAGCGGAGCATCCATATCTATTGCAGGCTCTTGCACCAGCCTCATCACCTCTTCTGACAGCACCGAGACCAGCTCGAACAGCCAGGCCACCAGCTAGTGCGGTGCTGGGTGCATTAAGCCCAGGCCCACCAGCTGCTAAAGCTCGTCCACTACCAAAACCCATACTGGCGCGACGCTCCAGTACTAAAGTGGAGTTACTTTCCGACATCCTCCATACTGAGACTTCATAGTAGGTTGCGTTTTCCACTGTAATGGAGATAGAGTTTATTTAAGAATATTCTGTCTGGTGGTAAGCGATGATGCGGTCTACAATGTTTGTTACTAGGCTACACCTCATGAAGTATAACAGTTAGTTAAGTAGATGAAATGTTTAGATTAGAAAAATTACCTGGAATACACCTCATCTGGAACTCCCCGAACTCATAAGTGATATCGCACAACTGAGGCTGAGGTGGCCTCAAGTGCTCAAAGGTAAATATCCTGTCACAGGGCTCCTCTTGCGATGCAATCCCATTGCTGGCCTCACAACTGGCCCTCAAGGTCTCTGCTAAGGGTCCCGTGATCTGATCCAAAGGTAATGTAGGGGACCCCGTGGTAAGGTGCTGAACTTCGAAGCCTGAAGGTTGTAAGTGCCAGAAGTACGTGTCTGGAGTTGGCAACGCCTTGACGACGCAGTGTACTGTCTCTTTCACAAGTCTTATGCCGTAACCCGTACATTCTGGTGGGTCTGGAAATTAGGAAGAGTTGTGATGTTATGCAATGGTATTTAACTAGCAATTTGCTATTTATTTGGAATAGAAATTATGGAAAAGATTTGTATTTGATTTCGGAGTACTGTTAACTGATGTAATTGTACCCGAAAAGCCAATATTTTTTATATTATATTAACTTTGGTGATACATACTTACTCGTGTAATTATGAGACTAGAAACTCGACTAGTTGCAAACCATACGGGAAAAGACAAAGAACCATACAAGCGCTCATATTCATGAGCAGCAAAAAATTACTGTAATATCAAAAAAAATTTGTAGCTTATTGATAGTTTATGCTTACAGAAAACAGTAATAACGATGGTCTCAGATCTGGTCTCTCCTATAGCGTTCCGCGCAGCGCATGCGTACCGGCCAGCGTGCGCACGCGTCGTCTCCTCCACCAACAGCTGGTGTGAAGATGTCGCGTCACCCCAAATATTGCCAGGCCTTATCTCTAAATCCTGGAAAATTAATTCACAATTTGTGAGTACAGTACACTAAAGGTTGAAGAATATTGAAATTGTGACAGAATACTGTTGGAATATGGAATATATATACTGAATTATGGGTCAATAATCTTTTAATTTACAGTATAATATGTTCCTTGAAGAAGCCTTTAAAAGTGCGATTGCATGCATTGAAGCATAGGGTCAGGGTTCTCTTCTTGTATCATCTTCTTGTATCAGCCAAAAATAGGCACGCTTTCTAGAACAGTGCCAGTGCTGGTATATGGCAATAGACTTGCCCTTTTCTATAGATATGGGATCTATAACATAATTTTCTAAAAGTAGGCATGATATAAATATTTACATACTTCTACCTACGCCTTAACAATTAATAGATGTGATGTTACTTAGTGAGTTAAAATTTCGTAGTAAATAACAAGCTGTATATAAAACCATGTAATTAAAGACGTTAGGCGTGCGTGGTCGTCGGTTTTCGGCCTTTGAAGTCAGTAACATCGATTTAATGGCTACTTACATTAAAATACCATGTAAATTGTTCAACCGGTGGGTTCGCTCTGACGTCACACTCTAATTGCAGAGAATCCAACTCCACAACATCGTTCAAATTGCCATCGCCCAATTTTATCACGTCTACCATTGGACTATCTGAAAAAACACGAAAAGAACTATTACAGTAAACGTAAATAGTTTTTCTATTCCTAACTGTAATATTAATGTCAGAAAAATCCCATATAGGTTAAACAAAATAATGTTCGTAACAAAACAGAAATTTCCCACGAGGCAGAACGCACGCTAAAACTCATTTACAAAAAAGGAACACATACTCAGAAAATGGAACCTTAAATACGGTACTCCCAATTATTAGATGAACTATTTAGATAACTTTCGCGAAATAGGGAATGTAATGATGCCACGCTGGAGTCCCAGTTGGGTGCCATTATAGTCTGTGTCGTAACGTAGGTACGAATTGCGCACAGGATTAAAGTCTAGATATGATACATTTTACCGCCAACATTGAGGGTAATGTCATTACATTGGAACCCAGTTGGGCGGCATTAAAAAGTACGTAACGACACAAACGAGAGTTGCGGCCTTATTTCCCATAGTAGGTTTTTATTCTGTGCTTTGTCGTTGTTAGACTCTGTTTATATGTATGTATTCAAATAAAAATGTAATATTAAGTTTTATTTATACCATTCCTGAAGTCCCTGTCGGGCGCCATTTCGGGTTTATGCATATTGTTAGAATTTGATACGCTGAATGGCTGTGGTTTGAATGAGGTTTGAATATGACATTTAAATAATTCTGCTTTTACATATTTATCTAGGATTCGGAGGCAGTACCATCAATAGTAATGGCGCCCAACAGGGTCATCTGTTGGGCGCCATTTAAGGTTAGTTTCATCGTAAAGTATGGACAAATGTCTGTTTTCATAGTTGTGAGTTGTAGTTATGCTGTTTGTGTACTTACATGTCACATTAAGTGTTATGACATCGGCCTTGGAGCCCCGGTTGGGCGCCATTACTGGATTGGTTGCGACACAAGCGAGGGTAGCGCCATTGTCACCGACCGCTGGGCTCAGCTCTAGGTACGATATCGCTGTCAGAGATGAATTGAACCACGTCTGGAAACAAAGATTGATTGTGATGTATTATATAAATATAGCCTTCCTACGAATATAATGTAACTTCACAGTTTTTGTTCCTCGGTGAGATAAGTAGAAGCGTAGACCTGGCAGTACAGAAAAATGTTCAAAAGTTTTTATAATTATAAAAATCGTACTATTATAGGGATTGATGTTATTTTAGTAAAATATTGGTATCCTAAATAATAAACCTTCATTTAAAGAAACTCCAGAAAAACGCGTGTTGTGGACAAATTTCTATCCACTTAAAAACTAATACATATGTAGTGTTATTACACTTTGCAGTTAGTGGTCAAACATAATTTCTTTAATACCATGAAAGTGAATATGTGATAACATAATTTGTCCGTCGATTACAAAGTAATTTTATATTATTAAACTTTGTTTGCATAGGAAAATTTCCATGGAATTCTGGATAAATTGGATCACAAGGCTATTGGACTAATGACGTCTGGAGGGCCTAATTTCTTTATTTTGAGAAGATTGGATTGTTTTTAGTCATTAGTGTGTGTAAAGTCTTCAAAGTATTGCGTAATGTGTCTAGACAAGCGCCAGTAGCTCCGGAACAATTCCATTTTATTTGTATACAAATTATCTGACTTTCGACCGACGCAGATGTATTTTTTTTCTGTTTGGGATTCTTTTATGTCAATGTCAACCATTGAGTTTCCTATTCTCTGGTTCGACGCTTAAATGCCATGTTCAGATTTAGCAGTATAAGGTACAAATACTTAATTCACAATAATATTCTCTCTACAATTTATTGTCTGAAGAATTTAAAATAGACTATGCCCTTGTTCTTCCTACAACAGTTGAAAAGCGCTTATGCTCGTAGAGATGGCTTGATGTCTTTATTTCAGAGATCCAATCCCATCACACTTCATCACGTGATTTCGAATCAACATCAATCCCATATATTTTGATTAGCGATACGAAACGATCACAAATATCGAAAAGCACTTGTATTGAGCCTCTAGAGACGATACAAATTGTATCTCGCAGTGAATCGGTACTTAAAGTACACAATACGCTTTTGTACAGTGTATAAATATCATCCTACTTCAATGTACAAAATTTTGTCATTGGATTTTCGACTTTGAAACTAAACGATAGTGTTGAAAATCGAATATAGAAATTTGACAGAATAGAGAAGGCTGATCTGCTGCCCACTATACTGTTTTATTATACGAACAAGCGGTAGTTTGGGAGTGCTATCAACGATCATACTACTTTAAAATAAATGCATTGCTCGAAACAGAAATCAATTTTTTAGGAAAAAAATCATCGCCTGTAATTCACATTTAAAAATATTTTTTCCTTAAATCTCGTTATGTTCGCTTCAGGAACAGCTGTGGAATTCAGGGTCTAAAATGCCTTTTATGTTCCGAGGTGCAAAATCCAGTAAGGTTTGTAGTAAATAGGGCGCCTATAACACTGCTATTGACTAAAGCCGGGGTGTTAGCACTCACACCTTCGTGGTGTAATTCCTTGCTAACAACCTACGTAATAACGATATTTGCTTTGACAACTACCCTCGTCTGAGAGAGCCAGAGAGCCCTTTATGTGGTTTCCAGCTTTGTACAAACTTGACGCAAATTACAATTGTCAAGCCATAACTCCCTAGCAAGCGTTTTCACATGATTGACGCTCGGTAATTACCTGGATCCCCTCGTTTGTTAATTGATTTCCACGCTCTTCTTTTCCGGGATTGCAACTTTTTGCGATAATGAACGAAGTCATCAGTCCATTAATTAAGATTATTCTGCTGTTTTACAGCAATTAGTTGAAAAAAGGGATCAGTTAACCGTCTATTTCGATGACGATTTCATTTTATTCTCGGTCGTGCATTTGAAAATTTTCTTTCTTTATGTATATTTCTACAAACGAATTTAAGAATGAAATGAAGTATCTCGCGAACACGATGCATCTGCATATTTATGAGACAATGCGATACGCATACAAATCGACATAATAATAATATTTTCTTTAAACAACTGAGTAAAGTTAAACAAATTACCTTTGTATTCATACAAGCTAAAAAAAATTGGGTACTTTTCTTAATCATATTTTTGATTATTAACTCGCCGAGTACCGGTTTTGCAGACACAATTATAGAACAATAGGTTGCGGTCACCGGTGACCGCTTGGTGTTTGACAGTTTAATTCGACTGTTCAACTATTCAATACAGTCTGATATTAAAAAATAATCACATTTTTTTAGTATTTTCCAACAAATTTTTAAGAAATAAGTATGCTGTTTGACTTTAATACAACGTGACGTCACAATACACAATCTCGTCCAAAATTAATAGAAAGCTGTCATTTTTAACAGTTCGTAAAAAGTATTGAATTGGACTAGTTGGCAAATACCCAACTGCAACCATAGCCTGGAAACCATAAAAGTTTTGTAAAAAAAAAAATTACCTGATTGCTATGATGTGTGAGATGCTTGTGGTCGAGCCACCAGGACAGCTCAGGCTGTGGGTAGGAGCCCCGCGCCGTGCACTGCGCGAGGGCAATGCTGCCAGCGCGCAGGGCATCACCCACAGTACCACGCACCCAGTGGATAGACACGTTGTATGCTGGTACTGTGAAAAATATACTTTTGACTGACTGATATCAGAAAACTGTTGAACTCAAATGCTCCGCTAACTTCGGTAACCGGTGACCTACGTGGCATTTAAAGTGTTAATCTCTGATGAATTGAATTATGACATCATTGTAAAGATAAGTGAATGAAGGAGTATTAAAATATTATGAAGGAAGTTAAGTTTGAGGGATAATAGTACTATACTATAGTATATATATATTAGTATTATCCCTCTCCCTATAGTACTATTATATATATAGTACTATACTAATATTAGAAGTAAATGACGATAGAAATCAGTAAATATCATCGAAAACTCTACTGCACGGTTCGATTCCCGCACTGAGGAACTCTTTATGTGATCCACGAATTGTTGTTCCAGGTCTGGGTGTAATGTGTATGTGAACTTGTATGATTGTAAGCGTACCCACGACACACGAGAAATTACTAATTTGGGCCAATGTTTTTGTTTTAAAAAAAAACACGCAAAAAGCTACGCTAAGCTAAATATAAACACGACACGATGCAGTTATTCATGACGATACAATTGATATCACGCGTCTTTTTTTCATATACCTATACAAATATAATGGCCTTTGCATTTACATTCACGATCACTACTGAAACAAATTCGTCCTTCATAAGCAATTTAGAATACTCCCAAAGTATAAAAAAACAATTAATGAATGTCTTGGTGGCCCGGAGGTTCAAGACAATCCTCTTCTCATGCATGAGGGTTCGAAACCTACCAACGGCAAGTACCAATGTGAGTTTTTCCGAATTACATGTACTTTCTAAAATTATCTACATACCACTGACAAACAGTAAAGGAAAACATCGTGAGGACCTGGGCTTACAATGTCTAATTACAAGTTTGTAATCGCCAACCCGCATTGAGCAAGCATGATGATTAATGCTCAAACCTTCTCCGTGTGAGAATAAGCTTTTCTCAGCAGTGGATCGTTGATGATGATAAAAAAACAACTTACAATACAGTTCAATCTCCAAGCTAGCTACGATAGGTGGCGATAGATGCGTGTTCGAGGCTCTGCAGGAGAGGGCAGCAGCATTGTCCCTGGTTAGAGGAAGATAGAGCTCGTTCTCCCGCACTGCTGGGATCTCACTGTCACCATCCGAAGCATCCACCAGCGTTTCGCCGGAGTACCAGCTTATGCGAGGTGGTGGACGACCTGGGGAACAGAAATTTAGGTTTAAATGGGAGGGAAGATGTTTCAATTTAATACCTAGATAAAATACAAAATTGTGTTTTTAAGGTTAGATAACGTAATTGTTTTAAATTATAATCTTCCAGATTTATTATGTTTAGGAAATTCTCATTCAATTAACTAACATCTTGAATAATTTACAAATCAAAAACGTATCTTGGGAATCTGATAAAAATACCATTTCGAGGCACAATTCTGCTCACCTCAAAAACTGATTGAATTTTCGAAGCAACAAAACAAAGTATCTTAAACAAACTGATACAAACATTTAGTCGGGGCAAACGTCAGAAACGGAGGGTAGTTGGCAAAAATTAAGCGATAACTGTGCGCCCGTCGGAATGTTGGGTAGTTGTGAAAGTTGGGAAGTTCGATACAACCCTCCGAAATATTGTGACGAGTCCAATGTTTGGGTAAACTAGTTTATCTTAGTAAACAGCTGGAATGGTAATGAACATGTGTTTGTGTGGTGACATTTAAATAGGTCAACTGCTAGGCTAATCTGTAACTGGTAATTCGAAATTTAAAGGGAATTCGATCGCATTCTCGCCCGTCATCGGTCGAGATCCCAACCAATGATATGGCGGACCGCGATCGAGTTCATCTTTATTTTTTAAATTTCGTGATTTGACGGCACGGTTGCCGCGTAACGTGTTGCCAGTTCGATTCCCGAACGTAGCAATTCTTTGTGCGATCCACAGATTATTGTTCCGGGTCTAGGTGTATAGGAACTTGTGCATGTTTGTAAACGCATCCACGATACAGGTAAAATCCGAGTGTGGGGCATTAAAAATAAAAAAAAAGCAGATTTTAATTAAAAAACAGCATTTTGCAAATCGCAATTACTGGATTTATTCTCACCTGTTCTGTGTTTATTCATATATACAAGAGTGAATGCATTGTCAAATACGTAAGCTGAACCGATTTGGCTTGATATATTCTTGGAAGTCAAGAAAAGTTTGAGTCAAGTCAAGGGAATGTTAAAAAGGCGAGAAAATATATTTAGGCTGTACAGCTAGTAATTGCCGGGTCAGCTAGTAATGTATACCTAATTAACATAATAATATGGTACATACTACTATAGTAGGTTAACCGTACAAGTGACCTTTTGTTAGCAACAGGTGTGAACACTAAAGATCTTTGATTGCATACTGGCTTACTTAAGTTGCATTAAACTGTCAAACACCAAGCGGTCACCGGTGACCGCAACCTATTGTTCTATAATTGTGTCTATAATGACGGTACTCGACGAGTTAAGAAGACTTAACATAATGTAAGTTATAGATGTCTCTAGCACAGTCTCTGTCTCTATTATCACTTGAATTATTACTCCTTTGAGCTTTGAGTACAAGCTCTAAAAAAAAAACATTATACACCGTGAACTCTATTTCCTTTTCGTCTTTCGAACAACTTGCCCAAAGGAGTACTTTCGATGTATTGAATAAGAACAAAAAAATTAAGATGTCTATATCTATAACATCACGCCTTTTATCCCCGAAGGAGTAGGCAGAGGTGCACATTTCGGCATGCTTAATTCCACTGTACAAAGTAACACCCACTATTCACTAATTATTTTACGAGTCCCATGTAATAGGGGGTGAGCTTATTGTCATATACCGGGCACAATTCCAGACTCCGTGCTACTACTGAGAATTTTTTATAACCCTCTCAATAGTTAAAAAAAATCATAGAAATATGCAATTACGCTCATCGCACGTGCCACCCGACAAGAAATACCTCTTCGATAATTAGAGGTACATGGCGTGATGTTTTGATAACGAACTGTGAATTCGTATGCGCTTTCGAAGCTTCTTTTTTGGAATTCTTTAACTATTAACTACGTTTTGTTTTAATCATTTTATTTCATTGTTAAACTATTGTATTACTAAGACAGAACCATTTTACTTCGGGCGAAAACATTAAGTAGAAACCCGCGTCCGCAAAAATGTCGGGAGTTCGAAAAATGTAATATCAGAGTAAACTACGTTTCAATTCGAAAACTGACTTCGGAAACCGTAATGACAGTTTTAAAAGAAATACTTTCTAACAAGCTGGTTCAAGTAAAAACTTAAGTGAAATAGTTGTATTTAATTGATCTTTGTGGAATGTTTTTTTTGAAGAAACCTCCGTAAGCGGACATTACTGAGATCGGGGACATTGCTTCGTTAAAGATCACCGATTAATTGAAAATCGGATACCTAACTGACGTGTATGTAACATTAATCGCAAAGAATGTTTTATAATGTTAATGTTTTATAAAAAAAATATAGAACAAATACTACACAGTTTTTATAGATTAAATAACAGGACCGATATTTTTTACCGATTTCCGTGGAACGTGTGCGTTTCAAAGAGCAAATATGAGTTTTATTTTTTTGCAAATAAAAAAAACGTTTGTCGATGGTTGGTTGTGAGTTTCTGCATGATTTGCCAAAAAGTTATAACGTACCTATCGATTTCATGATTAGTTTTGAAGTTTTTTTTCTTTGTGAATAAAATCAAACAAAATAAAATACGTAATTACCAATACTTTTTTTTTAAGTGGGGAAAATCATAGAATCCTTAGTTGGAAGAGTCCTTAGTTGTGCTATTCCCAAAGAGTTCCGATTTAAAAACAAATCTTGTCAAATCATATTCACTTGTACAAAATTCTTACTACATCTGTTCTATGACATTTTTACATTATTTTAGTAAGTATCCGGCTAACTCAAAGGCAACGAATATTTTTTCACATTAGATAAATATTAACAAATAAATTGAACACAAACACTTCAGCTTTGTCATCCTAGTGTACTAACGTGTCGCGGAGAACCTAACGGGTAACCGGGGCTCCGGCACGACGTGCAGGAGAAGGAACGGGGTGGTTTTTAGTCAGTAAGAGTCTGACACTCCCTGCCTTACCCAGGCGGGTTAAGTCATTCGATGATTTTCCCTCCTTAAAAAAATACCATACTAAATGAAACAGTCCTTGCTAAGACCTACAAAGCTACCTCCCTTATTCAATACAAACAATTATATATTTATTAACTCATACATCAGCTAATCACTTAATTAGTTTACACAAAAGCTCATGAATTCTAGATATTATTATTACTTTGTAAATTGACTTCAGTTTGCAATCACGTCGTGTGTCCATTATTAATATATTAATTTACGAAACTAATGATATTAAGTTCTTAGTTTATTAGTCTGGCGTATCGACGTGTCTTTGATTTGTTATATTAAAGAATACTTAGTTATTTAGATGCAATTTAAGAGACGTGATACGAAGTAGTACGTTGTTTAGTAATTGAATAATGTTATCAAAGAATAAGTTTAAGATAAAATGGATTTTGTTAATCAATGAATTAGACTAATTAAATGATGTTCGTTATGTTTTGGCTTTTTAAAAAGGTACAGATAGAGGTATGTTGTGTCTATTCGTAGTTCATCGTATCTGATATGGTTGTTTAAACTGTCAAACATCGCGGGACACCGGTGACCGCAACCTATTGTTCTTTAGTTGTGTCTATAATGACGGTTCTCAAAGAGTTAAATATTCACTGACCTAAATTAATTCTTATGTTTTCGGCTTACTCACGTAAATGTTTGACGAGGAACTCGATTAGTTTCAAGCCATGCTAAAGGCTCATATTCCTAAACAGCATTCCGCGACACCGCGACGCGAGGGTAGCGGCGCGACAGTCGCCGTATCGCGGGCCTCTAGCATGGTCGAGATCCTCGTCAAAAAGTTACGTGAGGAAGCTGAAAACATAATACCTAACTAATTTAGTATGACTCACGAAAATTTTGACATACACATTCACTGTTCAACAACAATTGTGATCCCTAAGTTGGATATAGTGAGTATAAGGCATTTCTTTCCTAATTAACTAAAAATAACCGCTTACTCACGTAAATATACTGTAAAAGCTCAACTAGTATCAAATCACAGAGGATGTATAGGCTTCATGACGTCACATATCCGCGACCGCGCATTCTGCTCATAAGGAAGAGACCCCCTGTGATTCGAAACTAGTAGAGCGTTTTGCAATATACATATTTAGGTTAGCCGTTATTTTTAGTTAATTTAGTATGTGTCATGATAGTTATTATAAAAACATTTCTTTCCTTTAAAGGTGGTTAGACGCCTTGTGGTTGAAGATGATCATGATGATGATCTACTTACCTCCGATGACAAGACAGCGCAGCACTAAGGTGTCTCCATCATGGTAAGGACCCACTCTGCCGACCACTTTGTTGCTCATCTCATCCATGAAGAAAGGAGGGCTTGGGAGAACTGAAACAAAAAGACGTAATGAGGATTTTTGACACAGACTGTTTTAGACTGGGTTTCGACGTTTTTATGCCGATTGATATGCTATGCTATGTAGGTATTATCTAATAGTAATATACCTATAACTATATATACATATAACTCGGAAAAAGTCACATTGGTACTTGCCATTGGCAGGTTTCGAACCTACACTCTCATGCATGAGAAGTAGGTGTCTTAAACCTCCTGGCTACCACGACCTTTTTTTTTTAATTTGATCCAGTATAGAGACAGACAGTATATTTTAGTGTGGGAAAGCCATGCTTCGGCACGAATGGGCCGGCTCGACTAGAGCGATACAAGCCGACGAAGCAACGCTTGCGTTGTGTTTCGTCGTGTGAGTAAGGTTACCTGAGGCCCAATAACCCCCTCCCCTTCCCCAATTTCTCCAATCCCTGAATTCCCAACGATTCTCAAACTCCTAATCCCCAAAAGGCACTTGTAACGCCTCTGGAGTTCCAGGTGGCCATGTGCGACAGCGACGCCGATTGCTTACAATCAAGTGATTCGTCCGCTCGTTTACCGGCTTATGTGATAAAAAAAGACAATCTTTATTTTAACTATAGTCAGTCAATAGGATGGAGATATCTAGGTACAAATAATACATGGTATGTAAGTACAAATTAAATAGTTAAAATTCTACAATGGAACAAGGGACCAAGACTGTTACCATTATCAAATCTATTTGTCTTAAAATCTAATATCAATTTGTCTATTTAATCTGAAAATCGGAACAAAACTATACTTATAACTTTTCGACGCAACTATAAGTAATACACATTTTGAGAAGCGTTTTTATTTGAACCAGTTAATAACTATGAGTTAGGTAGGTTCAAGTAAAATGTACGGATAATAACATTGCCGTGAAGACTGCAATTGACATTTACTACGCAGTAGTCAAATATAAGGTGAAACAGCTGCCGGTATATTTCGGAGTTAGGCCGCTGTACCAGTGACGAGAGGGTGTTACAGTCGCGAGTCGCTTTTAAACACGCGATTTTGTGTACAAACTTGTGTATAAACAACAGAAAAGTTTTAGTAGTTGAAGAATAGAATAATATTCTAAACAATTGCAAACTTACGATGTTTGTTTCTATATGTTATTTAGAAAGATTTTATAGTTAGTATGGTAATGCGAGCGTCAACTTGATGAAGAACCATCAGACCACCACAGATATATACTTCACAGGAGCCCTATAGGGCTAATACCGATTAGGAGCCGCGGAGGACTTAACGGCTTAACTTTTAAACTAAAAGGCGTCTTCAAAATATGTTTATTAGTCACTACATAGTATAAAACAAAGTCGCTATCCGCCGTCTGTCTGTCCCTATGTATGCTTAGATCTTTAAAACAACGCAACGGATTTTTATGCGGTTCTTTTTATTAGATAGAGTGATTTTAAGGAAGATTTATATGTATAATACATGCATATTGCACCCGTGCGAAGCCGGGGCGGGTTGCTCGTATATATGTATATCTATATAGAGGTATAAAAAAATGAAACCCGTTTCCCGTTGTCACGCCATAACTTGAGAACGGCTGGACCGATTTAGCTGATTTTTCTTTTGTTGTGTTTTTTTATCGTCAGGGGGAGAGTCTGATGGCAGAAACTAGACTTGAAAATCCTACGGGAACGGGAGACAACGGGGCTGCGCGTACGAAGTCGCGGGCTGAAGCTAGTATAAAATAAAACGGCATCAACTAAAAAAAACTAGGTCCAAAAGAATAATAAAAAATTCACGCACATCGCGCGTTTTAACCCGCGGCAATAGTCCTGCATCTTTATCCTCACTTTACGATACCCATGGGGCATAACAAGATGGCACGGTTCCTTCTATTTGGGGAACAAAGTATATACGATCTTATACCCTAGAGAATTAAGCCTAATGTACTTCCGCAACTCATTTTTTACATGTCAACTTTGAATTCATGGACTACCTATCACACGTTTATGATCGCTTCGAGATGGACGCCTTGGACATCACGTTTATCTTCCTAAAGAGGCTGTCTGGGAGATAATTTTTGGGATAAAATAAAATATATTAAATATATGTTCTTTCTGGTTGCCTCGTTTCTGAGTGATCACAAGTGCGACTGCCAGGCAAGGGGGCTCAATAAAACAAAAAAAAATAAACCCAGTAAGGGTTTTTTTAATTCTCAGTAGTAGCACGGAGCCTGGATTTGTGCCCGGTATATGGCAATAGGCTCACCCCCTATTAAATGGGAGTCATAACATAAATAGTGAAAAGTGGGTGTTATATTGTACAGTGGCATAATGTGCACTTCTGCCTTTCGGGGATAAAAAGGCGTGATGTTATGTTATGTTATGTTGTAGCTTCCCTAGTTTTATGTCATGGGGTATTTGGTATGTTCGTTTGCTCCTCCGTATCCAATAAAAAACCTACAACTGCCAATATGCCATTTTTTTTTTTAAGTGGGGAAAATCATCGAATGACTGCTCCCGCCTGGGTGAGGCGGGAGGGAGTGTCAGACTCTTACTGACTAAAAACCACCCCGTTCCTTCTCCTGCACGTCGAGCCGGAGCCCCGGTTACCCATTAGGTTCTCCGCGACTCCGAATATGCCTTTAAGTGATAATTACCATTATTATAACATGAAGTACGATTTATATTCACAAATACACTCATGAGTGCCGACCATACAAGGATATACCGCTGTGTTACCTACTTTGAGTGTATCATAATTCAGCATTAAACTTTAAGAGCGCTCGCTACGTTTGCACATACTTCTAGATTACAATTTCACACTCAAGAAGCGAAATATTTTAGTATTTAATTAAGATTTTCATATCTTTGTATTTGGTCGTAAAATATTTGATTGTTTTTCATATAAGGGGTAGGTGTATTTGACTGTATGATTGGCAGTGGTTGGGTAGAAAAAATCTACCAAAGAGATTTCTTTTTATTTAAAGTATGTAGTTTTATTTATTTTTATTTATTTCTTCTTCACAGACTTATTCCGTGAATGGCGGACTTAATGCCTTAAGGCATTCTCTTACAGTCAACCATAGGGAAGTGCAGAGAAATGAAGTGGTTGATGCAAAGCCAGAACACAATTCAAGAAAAAAAAAATGTTATGCAATATGTATACTACACACATAAATGAGAAAAAGAGTAAACAAGTTATTGGTTTCCTTACCACCTAGAGAAATTTTATCAAATTATTTACAATAAACAGCTTATTTACGTAAATGTTCGACGGTGCGCGATTTGTTTCAAGGCATGGCCGGGGCTCGCAATCACATGGCCGATGAGTGCGTCAGTACAAATATCTATATGTGTGTTTATATGTCGCATGATGATAACAATTATATGAAAAAGTTTTTCTAGAAACGGGACGTATCGTGAGGAGGTTTCTGTCTCTGGAGCCCTAACCTAACCACCGGTAGCTTGGACCATGCTCCCACTACTAGTCGACCTATCCTATGTCCTAGTTTTTATATATTTTTTTTAAATATCATTTCATTTTATTTTTTCTTAAGTAGTATTTAATAATGTAATTTATAGAGATTGTTAAATAAATATGTGCAAATTATATGAAAACTATATTGTTTAAAGTTAATATACTAGACACACTATATGTTGCCGATTTGGAGTCGCGGAGAACCTAACGGGTAATCGGGGCTCCGGCTCGACGTGCAGGAGAAGGAACGGGGTGGTTTTTAGTCAGTAAGAGTCTGACACTCCCTTCCGCTTCAACCAGGCGGGAGCAGTCATTCGATGATTTTCCCCCCTTAAAGAAAAAGACACACTATATCAGTTTATTTATTATAGCAACCATCTTTTTCCACATGAATAATGAATCATAAAGCGTATTAAATTCTATAGTTACATTAATTTCAGGTTTCAGTACATTTTCAGCGCAGCTTTCAGGTCATTAATACTAATGAGTAAATAATATTACCCTGTGGCGTAATTAAGGACATACCAAAGGCTATTTATTCATAAGGCTAAGAAGTAGTGAATATTATAATTAGGTGGAATACTAGGTACTTACATGTATATTCTCTTTATGATCTGGTGCAAGTGTGGGTCATGTAATCATGTTAGATGACTGGTTCTTTATCAAAGTTGCGGTTATGGGGATTTCATTTTCAGTATTTAAAGTTGATACCGATAGGTATTAGGTAGTAATATTTTTTTTAAGGGTGAAAATCATCGGGCGACTTCTCCCGGCTGGGTGAGGCGGGAGGGAGTGTCAGACTCTTACTGACTAAAACCACCCCGTTCCTTCTCCTGCACGTCGAGCCGGAGCCCCGGTTACCCGTTAGGTTCTCCGCGACTCCCAATCCTCCTGAATCCTGTTGGGTCCCATCTGTGGTGGTCTGATGGATCTATGAGGCGCGCGGCGCGCGGAATGCAACGCGCCGTACGCTCGGGTTAGGTAGTAGTATTAGGTTTGTAGGTAGGTTTTAATTATGATCGTGTTACAGGTTAATCTAATTTTACTTGAACATGATACGAATAAATCCTGCCTCGTTGGCCGAGTGGTCGCAACTGCGACTCCGGCGGCAAGGCGTCTCGGTTTTTTTTAATTCTCAGTAGTAGCACGGAGTCTGGAATTGTACCCGATGCCCAAAAGGTTCACCTTCTATTACACGGCACTCACTAATAGGACTAACATAAATAGTGAAAAGTGGGTGTTACACTGTACAGTGGCATTAAGTGAATCTCTGTCTACCCATTCGGGGATAAAAGGTGTAATGTTATGTTATGTATGATGCAAATAAAACAAAGCTACGTTGTATTACCTATATTGATTTTAAAAATATAGTCAGGAATGGTTTTATTAAGTGTTTCGACATCAATATTCTGGGAAGTCACATCGTCGAAAAATGAAAACTGACCAAAATGTAATTTAGGTAATAGTAAATTCGAAATATGTATTTAAGTACTGATATTTTTAGAAAATAATAAACAAATAATTATTATAGGTACATATAC